AAACTGAAATGTCTGTTAAAACTGAAATACAAATGCAGTAAATAAAAGGCGCCATGTGTCTTCTGTTGATTGGCCTCTCTTTGTTCCACCTAACGGTAAGTAAGCCTCCACGACGTCGCTTCAGTCTTAGCCTTCGTTAGATGGAAGGGGAGGCAGAAACGTTTCGTTTCTGCCTCTTGATCTCTGTAAAACCAGCAGCTGCTTCAGTCTTCTGGGAATCCTGTAGCAGCTTCAATCATCTTCATCTTCCTTGTTCAATACTTCCATTTCAGGCCGGATTTCTGTTGAGGACGCAGGGGAACTTGTCAGTCTCGCAGGGTGTTCTCCACATCGTCTTACTGGAAATCGAAAATGAACTACTTGGTACCAGGAGAATTGCCTTGACTGTTTGGAGATTTGGAGAAGATCGTGTGTATTGGCGGCTGTACAAGAAGGTGCTCGAGGAATCGCACTACGAAACTAGCAACTGTCGAGTGCTTGCTCTGCATCCGGAGAAGCCCGAAATCGTCTACTTGGAATATAAAGGTCCGCGGGGGCATGTGATGTTGTCCTGCAACATGACGACGGCGGCAGTCTCGGCGGAGGGAGGGCTAGAGTACTTTGGTGAAGCGAAGACGCGACGTTGCCATCGTTGGACGGTGTTCCAACCTAGGGTGCCTTGCTGGCCTACTCCGATTCCGAGGTACGACGAATTGCGAAGTATGTACGATGGAAGCTACAGGTGTTTTGTTCGGACTAGGGATAGGGAAGCAATGCACAGGTGGTGGTGTTGTGTTAAGAAGAAGAAGATTCATGATCGGGGAAGGCCTGTGTTCCCGGAGTAAGAGTTGATAATTTTATGGAGACGAGCTGATTGTTGGGTGTTGAGAATGATTGGGAAACAAATCTATGTCTATAGATTAGTTTTGATGGAAATTGATCACATTGGCAATTGTTGGTTTGTGTCTTATGGTGTGGTCCATTGTTTTTGATGTGGTTGGTGAAGGGTATCCCGAAAAAGAAAAAAGCTTGTATGTCTTCCGTGTTGTTAGCTTTCACATTTTGTTATCCAAATTTGTATCGCTGATCAAACGAGATTCACGGGTTCTAAGTATGCGTTATAAGTAGCTTAGAATGGGAAGTCCTGGTGTTATTACACTCAAACACAATGAGAACCATTTTGCATTTGATCATATGGTTAAAGTAATCTTTGATTGAAACTTGATTTTGGTGCTGCAATAATGATATGTCTACGCTTGTGTACCTTGATTGACGACATATTTGGTTTAACTTTTCGACTGATTACATGTTTGGTTTGAAAAACGCATCTTCCACTATAAATCATTAGTTTTTTTTAAGGTGTGGTTAATTTTATATTAATAATATGTATTTTTGGTATCGATTGTTGAGTTGGAGATTTATTGGGAGGTTTATTTTTAGATAAAGGTGATATAGATTTTTTTTTATAATGTGGTTAGATACTACTTAAGAGATTTATTGGGAGGTTATTTGGTATCAGCTGTATTTAATTGGAAGAGTTCGGATTGTATAGTGAGAAAACCATACCCACACATTGATCATGATATTCAGATTTGAATTTTACTCATACTACTAGGTATTGTATTTAGTTCAAATTTTAACCTATTCAATCAAATCAAATATAATATTTTTATAATTTAAGTGATCAAACATGTAATTTAGCCAATCAAATATAGACGAATCTACACATACTATAATACACCGAAGTGAAAAACGGGAGCCCCATTTCAAATTTCCTGCAACGAGAGTGAAAGTAGGAAGGACATTTTGGTCTTCACAATTACTTTTTTTTATTCATTAAAAAGATACATACTGGGATTCGAACCATGACCACTTTAAAGAAAGGCAAGGATCATAACCAATCACACTAAGTAAATTTGTTGTATCCTTTTAAATTAAAAACATATAATAGCAGGGTGGAAAAAACTCTTGCCCCATTTCAAATTCCCTACTCCATGAGCGTTTGTAGGAAGGGTAGAATAGGGAGTACCAATTTTTTCTCTTTCCTCCGTGGAACGGGCCAACTTACCGTACATATGCGGATTTAAACGGGTCTAGGAGTGTCAATTTTTTTCTTTATACCCTTTTATTTCTCCGTGGTGATAAAATATATATGAAAAGGAAAAAATAATACTCCTTTTTATTGTTTAAAATAAAAAATTTAACAATAAACTAATGCATGGTATCTAATGGGCTAACCGCTAACCATAAAATAAAAGAGTTGAATGGGCCTGACCTACATGGCGTTTGGCCATCAAGTAAAACAAATGAACATCATTGGTTTGCCATTCTAAAACAAGCTATTTTCTCTGGCATAATATATATATTATGCTATTATTTTATATCTTAGTGGCTAAAATATAATGTATTTTAAAGTTATTCAATGGTTCAACCTCGACCAACCCAATTATTCCAATTTTTATCATTTCAAATATATATTTTATAATTATTTGACATCATATTGATCAAATTATAGTGTGTTTTATAGGGAATCATTTGGTATTTGTTAGTAAAAAACTAAACATAAAGATCTATTTGGTTATTTTAAACATTAAAACGATCCTAAACATTTTCAGTTCTTTTTGAATTTCTATGGTTTTATTCCCGAATAAGTGATGGGCAAATGGCGAATTGTAGTCGTCTCTTTTCTTTCACTATTTTTTATTTTCAAATAGAAAGTTTAAAAGTAAAGAATAATTAGAATTTGGCATGGGTCAGTCAAACAGGTTGAATTTCAAGTTTTGGCCCGTTTGTTTTATGCATTGCAAATTTATTAGAATGTTGATGGAAATGGCTTGGAAAAAAGACATATAAGTTGTACCTTTGCAAAAATGTCCTCAAATGTTTGAATGCTTTGTGAATCAGGTTCCGTGACTTTTGTGATGGTGTATGTGCTTGACGATTGCTCGATGTTGTAACTACTTAATTTGAGAGTAAATCTTTTGATTTTCCCTATGAGTTGTGATACCAGTTCTGGTGGTTGCAGCATGTTGTCGTTGTTGGCCTGTAAAAGTTGTTCCTCCGTGATGCTAATTACCTTTTTTTCTTTTTTAACAAATTGTGTAGTAGTGCTATGAAACAGACCACCCATGAACGCTACGCTTATTATGGTCTGTTCTTACTTCCGGTGGTGAGAAATTGTGAATTGAGAATCATATTCGCCTACCGCACTGTGTCTGGCTGGTGGATGCTTACTGTGCTCTCTAGAGTTATGAAACAGACTACCTATGAACGTTACCCTTAAGAGTCCATAACTTTGCGAAAAACCAAATTTAGGCAATCAAAGGTGGTGGATGTGTGATGATTTTTTATGGCTTAATTGTTTGTGAATTGGATATCTGATCTTTGTATGATTAGAGTGGATGTTTTCTTAATAGAATAATCCATTTTAATTCATGTTTATTTTTAACATGAACTTTAGTAACTCAAAACCTTCGAGACACATATCACCTACTGCATGTATCATTTTGCCTGGGTGCTTGCTGTGTTGTCAAACTTCTTTGCTGCTGCTGCATTTACACTAACAGGGGAGTTAAGAACCCATGAATGTTTTCGTTTGACACAAACAAGAGGACTTACTTCTAAATCGTGCATTAAAGATGATTGGAGGAAACATCTTTGTTGCAGTTGATATACTGGAGACCATAACAAAAGCAACGTATAACATCAAAGCCAACCATCTGAACTATTAGCATTGTTGCTTTACTCTTTTTTCGTGGTTGAGTCTCCTTCAAAAAATTTAGTTTGATTTTAGAAAATTTTGCTTCTGCAGTCCTGTCTTGCCACCAACGTGTTCAGTAGATGGAGATGGCAGAGGCGAAGGCTATTTTTGTGTTGTTGTTGCTGGTTTAGGGATCGGTTTGTGAAGAAGAGGGGAAAGGGAAATGCAGGACAGGGGGATAACTCTTTTCTCCGACAAAAATGGAGTGAAGAAAGGAATTATGATCAGTAAGGATATGGTTATCTTACATAACGGTCTCTATTCTGTTTGAATTGAGCTTGGGAGGCAGTGATAAGGACGAGCTGCAACCAATTCATATTGATAATAGTGCTATGAACTGTGATCATGTCTTATTTCAAGTTAGAATGTAGTTTCAGTATAAGGATTATTTAATTTGACAAGTTGTTTCGTCCATGATTCTTGGTAGTTTTAGTGCCATTCTAGCCATTGTTTAGTCTGCAATTTTTGAGAATTGATGTGCGAGTAATGACTTTCACTTAGCTTCAACTATTATGTGTGTATTTATTGGCATGTGATAGAATTCTCTTTTCCTTTTCTTTGAATTAAGTTTCATACTCTAATTGTATCATTTGTACATAGGCAAATCATACTCGAGATGACAACTCGCTGATATGGCTGGTGCAAGGAACGAAGCCATCATTAGAATTCAGATCGACAACGGGGAGGGATGCCGAGGACTAATTCAATGATGATTGATGATGGTATAATAAAAACTGCAGTTTGCATCAGCACCAATTTCTAGGCCTAAGTAAAGTTATTCAACCCAGAACTCTGCTTAGTGCTAAAAATTGCGCTCACCCAACCTTGATCCTGTTTGACCCACTTCTGAAGAGTCAAGGTATATGACTAATCCTCTCCGTTCGTATTTTCTTATTAACTCTTTCTGACCCTTTATGTTGGGGCGGGTCGGGAAGAATCGGATTAGTGGGTCGGTCCTAATCAAGTGGAATCCCAATCCCTTCACTCTCACTTGCTTTCTCTCCCATTCCACAAGTGGGTAACATACAGTTATCCGGCCAACGGGCCGGGTAATAAGCTAGTATCTATAATTATGAGTATTTTTGCCAATCCTCAAACCTTCCTCTACTATATGAAAAGGCAAACCCATTTCTGTGGACCTAATTCCCGCTTCTTCACAAGTTGGGCTCTATTTTCTCGCGAGCCCATTAACAGCGTGGCCCAAAGGGCCCAAAGCCATTATCCACGACTACAAACCATACAGTTCCAAGGTCTTTCCCTTTTCTTCTTCGCCTTCAAGAGACGTTCTCTTCCCGTGCTTCTTTGCCAGGCCGGAGAGCTACCAAAAACCCCTAATTCCGCCCGATTTCGACCGACGGCAAGCAGAAATTTAGGGTTTTTTCCTCAAGAGAAATGGCGAACGACGCAGAGGCGGTGGACTTTGAGCCGGAGGAGGACGATTTGATGGACGAGGATGGAGCCGTCGACGTCGATGCCTCCTCGCCCCGGGCGCCGCATCCCAAGCTGAAGTCCGCGATTACCGGCGGCGCCTCCACTTCGCTTGCACCGAAGAAGACTAAAGGCCGCGGGTTCAGGGAGGAAGCTGACGCCGAGAGGCAGAGTCGCCTGGCTGGACGTGACTTCGATTCACTCGGCACTGAAGGCGGTCCTGGTGCTCAAAGATGTTAGTTCCTCTTCCCCCAAACTTTGGCCTCTTAGATGGGTAGTTTCAGTGTCTTTTTTGTAGGCTTGAAGTGGGAATTTTGGAGGTTTTCTGTAATGATGAAGTCTAGGTTCTAGTGTCTTTGGGATTTGGATGTGTGATTTGGCGTTCAGTGAGCTAGATTTGAGTGTCCTTTGAAAAAAGAGGCGAAACACAAGCCAATTGAGCTGCCATAGGAATAGAGAGCTTACAAAGTAATCTGGAAATCTATGTTTATCACATGAGCTTTGCCTCTTAGTTCATGGCTTGCTTAATTGCTTCCCAATTAGGCTGCTAACGTTTCTGAATGCTATGTCTCTGGTTTGAGCTTGAAGTGTGCTTCGTGCACATTTCTAAGGTATTATCTGCAAGGTGTATTATATCAAACTGAGAAAATTCCCGTCTGATTTGTGTGGTTGGCAGCCATTGAGGGATGGATTATTCTGGTTACTGGTGTGCATGAAGAGGCTCAAGAGGACGACTTGCAAAATGCTTTTGGCGAGTTTGGCGATATTAAAAATCTGCACTTGAATCTTGATCGCCGTACTGGTTTTGTTAAGGTATGAACAAGTTCCTTCAGTTTCCTTTCTTCTAGGCTACCTTAGAGTGGATGCTTTTTTCAATAAACTGATGAACAAATTCATTGGTTTGCTAGGGATATGCGCTGATTGAATATGAGAAGTTTGAGGAAGCACAAGATGCTATTGCTTCAATGAATGGGGATAAAATACTTGAACAGACTGTCAGTATTGATTGGGCCTTCTGCAATGGTCCCAGCACTGGTCCTTTCAAGAGGAAGAATGCCAGGTTTGTCCACTTTTTCCTTTCAACAACATTTTGATAATGTCTTTAGTACTGAAATAGAAGAACAGGCTTTTAGAACTAATTATGATCATGGTGGCCTTACTAGGATAATCTGGTCGGCTAACCGTATATTTCTTTAGTGCCTCTTCCTGCAGCATGACTTTCTTGAATAAGACACTCATGGCAGTTGTTTAACATGAATTTCTTGGAGAAGATATATAGGACTGGAAAACCTGGTAGTTCTGTGACTAAACTACACCTGTGATGATCAACATGAGAATATATTTTATACATCAAGGGGAAAAGAATACAGGACATTTTTGGGAGAAGATTCTTGATTCTTCTTTGAATTTTATGGTTCTTCATTTGCTAGAGCTTCCTTGTAATAGTCTTCCATTTGCAAAAAGGTTCAACTATCTATGCAATTAGCCTATATTTCTTGTGACCTGATCAATGCATGGTTGTTTGAACTCTTACTGAAAAGGCTGTATTGATGATACCATGAGGCGTTAGTTTGTTTTGTTTTGGAATTCTGTACGACTGGCCGGTTTTGTTGCGCTAAGCATTGTGTTGTGGTTCTCTTCTAGAGTCATCACATCCGGGGCAATTCCAGATTCATTCATTCGTGGGTTTCGCAACAGGTGGTTAACGGGTTGAGTTTCTAATTGTTTGCAGGACTGCACGAACTCATCGTTCAAGGAGTCCGAGGAGGCGATACTAGGTGCTGGAAGTCATTTGCCCGTGGGTGGTGCTTTCATGGAGTAGTGTGGTGAACTGCTGCGAGGAGTGGCGCAAGATGGTGATACGGCTGTGGATTTGACTAGAGAGTTGTTTTGAGTGCGAGGAAGTGTTTGTGTGTTTTCTTCTGGCTGTTAACTTGTCACTGTTTTGGATAGATAGGCTCGGGCTGGGCCCGAACAGCCCACCAACTCTTCACATACTTCTGGCTTTTATCACTAATTTGAATATTTGATTGTGAATACTCCTAAGTCCGTCACTAATTTGCTGTCTTGCCCGATATAATTTGGTGGGAAACGCCGAACATTCACTGCCCCAGATAGGAGCGTGTGATTTGATTAACTCCACGGTTAAATGTCATCCTAACATTATTATTAATGTCCTAATTTAAGACAAGCAATTAATTAACCTTTCTTTTTAGAATAAAACAAATTCTAAACAAACCCTATGAGTATCTTACATTTTTGCTTTGGCAGGGTCAGTAACCATTCTGGACTTTTAGATCTAAGTGGGTTCAGAAAATTCAGATCTAAGAGTTGTCAATTAAAGACATTTTATTTTTTCTGGTTTTCTTAATCGGTTCTTATCTTCTTCGTTCTAACTCGGATTTAAAAAAAAAAATTGCACAGATGGAACGAGTTCGCTGTGCTCTACAAAATGAGATCAATTTTCAATATATTTCGATTTTTTTTACCAACTACATACCATATGGTAATTTCTTCATTTTTAAGTCGTTTTTGAAAACGTTTGCTCAGAAGAAACGAGTTCATCATGATCTATTGGATCTATAAATTTCTGGGTGAAAAAAAATACTGGATAAAAAATTACCATACTTTACCATTATGGTATGTGGGTGGTAACTTGTGGTAACTTGTAGTAAACAATAATGAAAGTCGTAAATGACAGTTAGTATACTCCTACTATCATGTATTCAACCTTCTTACCATATTGGTATGTTCATACCATCATGGTACGCTTTCTTACCATATGGTAATGACTGGTAAAAACTTATTCAATTTTTTTGTACTAAAAATATATCAAAGTGGATATCATTTTAAAGAGCACATTTAATCTGATTTATCTATGCAAAAAAAATTAAATTTCGACTTAAAACGAGAGAGAAATCGTCCGTTAAAGATTAAAGAGGAATAGATAAAAGACTTTCCAGGAGAGAGATGATACTAATGTAATGCTGATGTAGACAAGTTACTCATAGTTACTAACCATAGGGGGCAGGATACTATGACTACCCCAAAAGGGGTTGGGTTTTTGATACCCCTCCTGCAGCTATCCACGTGTCCTTCATCTTTGGGTAAGTACTAATGATTATTGCTTTATTGGGAAGTTGTCATTATTATTGCTTTATTGGAAAAATTCTCATAATAATGATGCATGGGAAAGTTCCCATAATAATGATACATGGGAAAACGATAATCTTTCATCTCCCCTTCTCTTCCTTTCAAATTTCTTTCCACAAGAACCCTCTCCCCGCGTCTTCTCAGTCCAGCAAACCCTCCCTCCGGCGGTCCACCCTCCGTCGGCCAACTTCCATCAGCGGCCCAACTTATCGTTGCCTCCCTTTCCGCCGACCCTCTCCCGTCCCTCCGTTCCTCTCGAGTCTCCTGTCCTGCGACATCGACTTCATCACTTCACATGGTCGGAAATCATCAAGATGATCTGGACGATTTCGTCTCTAACGTCGAGCATATGGAAGACGGCGACAGAGGGAAACGCACCAGTGGAGTGGTACGTGTACCAGTGGAGTGGTATGTGTACCAGTGAAGTGGTACGTATACATCGACTTCATCACTTCACGCGGCCCAAAATCATTAACGTCGAGCATATGGAAGATGGTGGCGCTGCCGTGAAAGTGGAGCCAATTAGAGACGCCGAGGAACACCAAAACAATCTCAGTAAGGATCTGTATTCATGTCTCGTCGACTTCTCCCGCCCGACAATGTACCAGTGCATTGGTATTTTGTATCATTGAAGTGATACAATGCCACTACAATGGTATTTTCCCCCTGAAAAGGTCCAGACGGACACCACTGGTTATTGAAGCTGCGTAAACAACCTAGTTGCTTTGTATTAGGTGTTGTCAATACGGTCGTAAACTAGTATATTTGTTTGAATGAACATGTATCAGTGACATGACAAGAGTAACAGTGCTTACCCTTAATGTTGTGGTTTTATGTACCAGTCTAGTGATACATTGTTCCGGGACCAATATTGAAGTTTGTAAACTTGTTTTAAAATTGTTGAGGGACGGATTTCTAGATGAAATATCGATGTTCAAACGTTACCATTGCAGCATTAGATATAATGTACTTGTACCACTGAACTGATACATATACCACTAAACTGATACATGTACCACAAAGAGTATGACATGAGGGAATTTACTAGTATTTGTATCATTGAAGTGGTACTGCATTGTTGCTCCGTTATTGTTTATCATTGCTATGAAAAATATCATTGCACTGGTATTATTCTCACTCCAACTCGTATTTGCCACTTCTAATGTACCACTTCATTTGTATTTTGTATGGGAGAAATACACTACACGCCACTAAACTATAAGAATTGGGGGAAGGATACGACTAATGTGAAAATAGAGCACCAAATACCATTAAAGTTCCCAAAATATGCATCCATTAAATTCTTCATCAATTTGATTAACCAAATGAATACAATATAATTTTCCACCTCAAGCCTCTTTAACTTTCGTTGAAACTCGACATTAAGAGTTGATGGACCCTAATCGCTCGCACTTGTAGTCCGGAACGTGCTCTACTCCCTGCTCCGTGCGATTTGTCTTTCCTAGCGTGCATCCGACGCCGCTCCACAACTTCTCGAGGAACTCACTGCTCTGACTGGAATCAAAGAAGGTAAAATCAAAAGTCAAACCAATAAATATAACTACTGATAGATGAGATCAACAATAAGTCTTTCACTGCAGATATATCAATCCATTGATAGCTCTATCCTAGAAAGCCATTCTAAACATAACTACTACGGTAGTTGTACTTTAAACAACCATATTGATTTTGTTTGTACCACTACAGTGATAGCACTACCCACAAAAACATCACAACGAACTACCACTGCAGCGGTAGATCAACAACTACAGTGACAGATCTACCACTAAAGTGATAGACACAGTATGCCACAAAAACATTCACATGGTTAGCTATATCAATGTGGTGATATACTGCAGTCAAATAAACAACACTACATTATCCAAGAATCAACTATCACTGGAGTGGTATACTTCCGTACCATAATCAACAATTTATACCACTCCAGTGATAGACATACCATTACACAGGTACTGATACCACAAGAAAAAAAATCCAGTTCTCGAAACTCGAAAACATAGATCTGGGTGATGAAAAGACCATTGCACTAGTAATAATACCACACGAAAAACCCATATATATGAGTTTGGGAGAGAGTGCTACCTCAGATTCTTTTTCGTCGTCTTCGCCGGAAAGGGGAGGAGGGCCAACGCTGGAAGGGTAGGAGGGTCGTCATCTTCGCCGGAAAGGTGAGGAGGGTCATCGTCTTCCCTGTCGATCCCTTCGCGTCGACGATCGAAAAGATAGACTTGTGGCGTGAAGTCGGAGGATGGCCGGCGAATGGGATGGGCCGCCGATGGTCGTTGAGGAATCGTAACGGAGGCCGGAAGGGTGATGATTCCGTCGCGGGGAGAGGTTATGTCGGGGGAGGGTTTCCCTAGATAGGATATTGAAAGGGTAAGGGTTAATTAATTTTGTATTGATCTTGGGAACCATTTTTCCTCGATATCCGATTTCTTTCCTTTTCAATGTAGGTTATAGAGCAATAATTACGTGATTAGTGCTCAATAAATAGATGTTTAATCCTAACCATTCGTTTAACACTAATAAAAATGGATGGCATCTAAGTGGGTGTCAAAAATCAAACCCTTATGGGGTAGTCATGCTAACCGCTCCCTAACCATAGAGTTACTGACCTGATCCGCTCCCGCTTTGGCCAGAAAGAAAAAAAAAAAGGAAAAGAAAAAATAAACAAACGAGAACCTCCCCCTCTGCACGCTGACTTGTAGCCAAAAAATGTTGTCGCCGTCCCAAAGGTCTTATGGTTATAGTGGGGGTAGGGTTTACACTTTACAGAGCTTAGGGTTTAGAAAATGTCTGTTTTGGGCATTGACCATTATCAATGTCGTGCCCCTTGTGCCCGGCCTATGGCCGAAAGAGTTTTTGCCATAATTCATATATTACATAGGGTTATAGGTATGATATGCTTTTTTATTATTTATTTTTATAAAAAAATACTCCTAATATTATTTATATCAAACACACGTTTATATTTTAGAAAAATTGTCAAACTCAAACACGTATTTCTGTTAGAATTTACATAAAAAACCAATCAACCACGATCAAACTGTGGTTAGAGGACCCGACCTCAGGAAAATAAGAGGGGAAATATCAGTTTTATCTCTCCATTTATTTCTCTAATGTGTCGTTTGGTAGTTGCGATTGTTTTGTTGAGATTGTTACTATACATGTATTGTTTAGAATGCATCATTTTTTTGTTTTTTTAGCAGAAACAATGCCTAGATTGTTTCTGTGATGTGACAGAAACTATCACTCAAAATGAGTGATTGTTATATCTCAACTTTTCGTTGTGATTGTTGAGATAGTTGAGTTGAGATTGTTTTGTCTCAGTTTTTAGCTGATGTGACATAAACAATCAGACATATCAAACGTTGTATTCTACAATGCATCAAATTCGACAATACATGTATAATATTATACATGTATTCACAACAATATATCAATTTAACAATCGCAACTTCCAAACAACCCCTTGTTGAGATAGTTGAGTTGAGATTGTTTTGTCTCAGTTTTTAGCTGATGTGACATAAACAATCAGACATATCAAACGTTGTATTCTACAATGCATCAAATTCGACAATACATGTATAATATTATACATGTATTCACAACAATATATCAATTTAACAATCGCAACTTCCAAACAACCCCTTTCTCATCAAAGCAAAATTATTAGGGGTTTTGGGCTATACAAAAGAACCAAATAAAGTGCTATATAAAGCAAACCACGATTCGATCGTGGTTGGTGGTTTTTAAAAGGAAATTTTAACAGAAGGGTTTTCTAAAGTGTAAGGTATGTTTAATCTAAAAATTGTAGAGGAGCATGTATGATAAAAATGCAACATATTATACCTATAATTAGGGCTGTTAATGAACCAAGCCGCTCATGAACGACTCGGTGTGCGACTCGAGAAAAACTCGTTCGACACTCGATTCGTTTCAATCGAGCCGGCTCGCGAACAAGCTCGTTAACTAAACGAGCCGAACTCGAGCCATACCATGTTCAGCTCGAAAGCTCGCGAACAAGCTCATTTAATGGTTTGACATAAAAAAAAGTTTAGAACTCATGGATTTTATGTATTGAAATTGGGATAAATATTGTCTTTTACTTTGCTAGACTATGCTATAGGTTAGAATGTAATTTTGTGCACAGTTCTATGTCAATCTTGAGCTATTATGAACATTTTATGAGTTGGACTCGAATTTGGGCTCGTTAACCTTATTTGACGAGCCGAGCTCGAGCTTTCATTTTTATAAACGAGCCGAGCTCGAGCTTGCATATTAAAGCTCGTGACGAACACGAGCCGAGCTCGAGCCTGGAAATATATTAACGAGCCGAGCCCGAACTATGGCAAAGCTCGGATCGACTCGGCTCATTAACAGCCCTACCTATAATTCTATGACGCTATTAGATATCTAGCATTTTTCTTCAATTATTAGATATTTAGCATTTTTCTTCAATTATTTGGATGTTAAAACTTCTTAAGTTAGTTGTTTCTTGGTAATACAAGTGATATGTTCGTTAATTTTTTTCTCTTAAATTACGGTTGTAACTCATTTTTTCAAGTATAAAATTTTGAAGTTTTGTCCTTATTTATATATGAGACATTTAGCATCATTCTTGAAGTATTTGGATTTTCTAAATGTCTTAAGTTAGGGTCAAAGTCATTTTTCTAGTATGAAATATTGATGTATTATTAACTTTCAACCTAAAATTTCTCTATTACAAATATCCACCGAGATTTTTATCTAATAAAATCAATGGGTAGCAATGCTTGAGTTAGTTTCTAATTAATGAGACTCAACTATTAATCAAGAATTTATCACCTCCAACAGACTAATGATTTCATATATTTTTCCCACGACATAACCAAATTTGATTTCCTCTGATCTTTCTATATGTTACCTTTTAAAGTTTGTTATGTTAGCAGCCTAGGTTTGAAATGAAGGTTTATAAAGCAACACACTTGTCTTTCATCCTTCCCGGGCTTTGGTCCAACTCAGCAACACACTTGTTTGCTTCATGGATTTTATGATGAATTTAGATATTCATCATGGACTTTGAGCAAAGTCCATTATTTGCTTCCTGGAATTAGGGTAATCAAATTCGCGGGACCCATGGACTTGGAGGGACCAAATTTGTGGGTCTCACTGATTTGCAAGTTCCACCTCTTAAGATAGGATTGGATGATGAATTAAAATTCATGATCATAGTTTACTCTTCTACCTCACTTATTTTTTTAATTACAAATTTGTCATTCTATTTTGTTTCAATGGGCACGCAACTATAAATGTTTGTAATGCCGTATTCTATTTAAATATGAATGTGTATGTTATTTGTTGGATTCAACTATAAACAATTGAATGTTAACTTATTTAAGTATAATGATTTTGTATTTTTGTTTTAGTGGCGTATTTTTTAAAGAATGTAGGTCAATTGTATTTCATAAATTGATTTGAAAATCTTACACCACTTTGAATACATCTTTGTCGACGTTGAATACTTTTTTGGTGCCTTTGAATACTTGTTCGTTGCCTATGAATACGTGTTCATTTATGTGAAATACTTATTTGAAGCTTTTGAATTGTTAATTAGTGCCAAATTGTGGTATATCTCTATATTTGTACTTGAATTATAGTCCATAGAGTAGTGATAAAGAGTAAAAGTTCTTTGTATGCATTGAATTTGTTTTAATGAAAAATTTGGATTATAATATAGAAATATAATTAGATCGATAAGGGTAACAAGGTGATTTGTATTTCATATTCACAAATCTAATCAAACAAAATCCATAATCAAACCAACAAGCAAACAATAGACTTGTTCAAATCCATAATGCCACCAAATCCATCATATATCCATGATTTCTCGAAATCCAGATTTTACCAATACGCTCATTTTTCAAGTCCATGAAGCAAACAACCCGTAAATCTTTTATGCTTGCCTTCATCTTGGTTTTAACACTGAACCTATGTCACGTGGTAAATAACATTGTTTGCTTATGTAGTGAACACATGTTTATCTTTACCCAAAAAAAGTTTGGCGTTAAAGCTAAGATTTTTGAAATATGTCCAAGATACACCAAGAACAACTCATGTCCATAATTGAGAGTTATAATTATATGAAGTACGTATGGCTTTTGGATTTATGTGACACTTCAGGAGTATCTTACATCAACCAAGCGTGGGAGAGATTCATGATTCATAGGTAAGAAACCAATTGTAACTGACAAGATGCGTTTTGGGGTGAAATGCAAGAGTTCTGATAAGAATTACGAAGTTAAACGTGCGCACTATGGAGCACTGAAAGTACGAGTGACCTTATGAGAAGTCACCTTGATATGCACGTCAAGGCAAAATCCGTGAGGGCCTAGGCCCAAAATGTACAATATCTTGTCGATAAAGGTTGGGATGTCACAACTGGTATCAGAGCCTCTCTATGTCCCTCTTACACCATGGTGGGGCAAACCTCAATGAGGATGTTGAGTCGGGGGGGGGGGGGGGGGGGGGGGGTTATGTAAAACCTTGGGCGAATCCCACATCGACAAAACACAAGAGAGATGCATATTCATATGTAGTAAGAAACTAACCTTAACTGACGCGTTTTGAGGTGAAATGGAAGAGTTCCGATAAGAACTTTGAAGTTAAGCATGTTCATTATGGAGCACTCAAGCATGTGTGACCTTATGGGGAGTCACCTTGATATGTACCCCAAGGCAAAATCGTAGGAGTCTAGACCTAAAGCGGAAAATATATTACCCCAGGAAAAGGTTGGAGATGCTTTTTTTTATTCTCAATCGAATTTTCATTGATGAAAGAATTTTCATTGATCTCATATATAAATATGTACCATATTGATTTTATGTCCTAGCCAACGATGATTACCTTTAATATTTGATCGGTTCATCATAAAAGATAGTTTACAATTGTCGTACTAAGCGACTATTCATTTTCTAATTCGACAAGTACATAGCGTGTAAGCTTTTTTAAAATAGTTTAATGGTTAGTTTGAGTTATTTTCATCGTGTGTTGTGAAATTAAACTCTAAAATCCAATTTCTTACAACCTCTAATTAGAAAAGATATGTAATTTATACTTAAATGTATTTAGAATATCATAGTTGAGTCCAGATAGTCACCTATAAAGTCAAAATTTTAGTTGAAACATCAAAATATATATGTAAATAAATTGGATATAAATTGATTACATTTTCAATTTGAAATGTCAAGTATACGTAAATGAATTTCTCTATGACTATATTATTTAATTTCGCTTGAAATAAAAAAATTTCTCTATTTTATTTAATTTTACATCTATCACACACCTTTTTTTTATCTACAATCGACATATATATCTAAATCAAAACTGAAAACATAAGTATATACATTTAAATAATATGAAACTCGAAATAAAACTTAAATAAGAAAGATAAACAATTTATAAACTAATATAAGCAAGCAACTGCAACTCGAGAACAATAGGAAAAAAACAAAATTAATATTACAATCGCCCGT